CGGCCCGTAGCCTAGAAGCTTCCATTCTTCTCGACTCACTTTCGCCCTTTTCCCTCTCATCTCCAACTCATCCCCATCTCCCTTCAAATCCCTCCCTTTATTACTCTCCTCCTCATTTAACCCCATTTGACCCTCATAAAACTTATTAGCCGTCTCTATACTCCTCTCCACAAGCTTCTCCATACCCTCGTTGCTCCTCATCGCCTTCTTAAACTCTTCATCCCAATACTCCGCATTTTGCTCCGGCCCCGACTCATCCTCATCCTCTCGAATCCCTAGCAACTCATCCCCTTCTCCTTTCATGTCATCAATGACATCATCCGGCACCCCGTTATCATCATCATCATCATCATCATCATCATCATCATCATCATCATCATCATCATCATACTCATCATCATTATTATCATCATTATTACCATCATCCTCAACCCAATCAAGAATCTCCTTTTCACCATCTTCAAACTCAAACTCATCGGGTGCATCACAACCCAACTCCATCTCCTCCAACTTCAGCTTCCACTCCTTAGTGTACGGGTGCAAAAGCATAACCGGATGGTTAGTGAACAAGAACTCGAGACACTTTGATTTTTTCTCATCCGTCAGCTTCTCGAACGCGTTTACCACATCGTCCACAAACGATTTCGGGCTGGCCCGAACAATCCTGCAGAGCCCGCCAAAGTAGGTGCAAGTCTCCACATTCCCATGCTCGTCCTCAAGCTCACACGGGTAGTCGTGTTCAGTTTCCGGGTCAAGCAGTGGGGCCAGGGCAGAGAAGAAATCTTCCTGAGGCTCAAACCTGCACTGATAAACAGGTCGCTTCACGTAGATAATGTCGGGCCTCATCCAAGCCGCGCATTTTGTGATTAGGGATCGGGCTTTATTCCCGAGCCTTCCCATTAGAGTCCATTTGTCCAATCGTTGATCGCCGGCCTCGAGCACCACTTCAGAAACCAGAGTCCACTGCTGCCATGGCAGATCTGAAATCCTCCATTTTGGGTGCCTGACAAAAACCCAAAAGTACCTTGATTTCTTGTTCCTATCCATGGCGTCAAGCCTTTTCTGAAAATCGACCGCCATGTCGTGCTGCTCGATTTTCTCCCACTCCTCTTGGTCCCGGACGCTGCCGATCATGGAGACGCGCTCGTCGGAAAAGCTCCCACGGATGGGGTCGCCGAGAACCACACCGCGCCACGAGTAGGGCCCGAACTCGCCGTACTTGTACCAGTCGTGCGGGTGCTTCAGGTTCGGGTCGTCCCTATCCATGAACCGGACC